ATACTCTGTAAGAGTAAAAAAAATGGTCCCGGTACCAGCGCCAAGTTCACAGTGTCAAGCTCAGTAATAAAAACGGCAGCCATACCAAACTGAAGTAGCGACATCTAAGCGGACCCACAACGACGGTAGACCAAGGTCAGACGGAAGATGCAGAAGAAGAAAGTGGACGATGAGTAAGCGTGAATGGCTCATTTAGCCCGGATTGAGTCTTTGGTTTGATCCATGGACCGCGAAGTTTGATCCATGGACCGCGCTAGTGGTAGAAGCAGCCTACTGAGTAATGGAGAGCCTCTGCTTAAGAAATCAGCAACACTACCATTAGTTAGGTGATTACTCAATTATTACTCACACATTTTCATTTGTCAGACATTTTGCTCAATTACTTACGAGAAAGGTAGCGCTTGACCCAAGCAGCCTAGAAAGGACTCAGAAGGTTATATGCTATACCAGACTATGATATGGCGCGTAGAGGGCCCTTCGGTAAGCTGGACCGTTTAATAGAAATGAGGCTCCAAAAAATATTCACCTTTCACCAAAAGGAGTGGTAACAGGAAAAATCTATTGAACGGGAAAAATCTATTGAAAATTTTGCTCACCAAATAGCTCCTCTCCAGAGCTGGAGATTTCGTTGGGCGTGTGGTCATTCTCCTGTGACGAAACTCCAGCCTGACGATTCTTCCAATGCAGGAAACAATAAATAATGTGAATATAGAGGAAATGACTAGTAGACAACCGGAAGATGTCATATCCCCATGAAGGGATGCGCTAGAGTTGGCGGAGTGGATGCCGAGAGGTGGGAGTACGGGGGTACCTACACCTGTCCGAGAGGCGAAAACAAAACGAGCTGATGGCGAAAAATGGGATGATAGGGCCGAGTAGTCGATCTCGTCCCGTAGTCGATAACAGATAAACGATATATTTGTGGCGCACTTACGAACGGCATACACAACTCAACCGGAACGACCTCATGCGTCCTTTGATAGGGAAGTGGACCTGACTGTCTAAGGAAACCACACAAGGAGTCGCACGTGAGAAATGAAATGTCACGAGGAATGTTAGAAGAACGGAAATCTAAAACTTTTTTTGCCAAAAGCTAGCTATTTAATGGCTCTGATAGGGGCCATTTGGCTATTTTCACTCCACTGATAGCCACTTAAAATCATGGAAGGTGCTAATGATTGGAGTCTTCTTGGAGCATTTAAGATAAGACCTCACACCTGTGACAAACCCCTTTCTGAATGCCGCTGGTTTATTTTGATATGCTATTTCCAGGATTAAAGCATCGAACCACCCATTTGTACCTCGGAAACGTCCCCACTGAACATCATGATCTAAAATGCCTCAAAAACTCACTAATCCTTATTGTTAAAAGAAATTCATTGTCTCTGCAAAAACAAACTTGTCGATAATGAAATATCGCCCGACTTCTTCTTAGATCAAAATAGGCGAAACCGAAACTTTTGAATTGAATGAAACTATGTAGAATGGCAAAAGAGATAGCGCGATAAGATCTTTTCCGAGTCGCCGTGCCACTCCAAAACTCCGGCCAATTCTGGTCAGAATTCTTCTCGCGGGTAGAGTTTCTGTTCCCTGAGAGTTCCCTTACACATGCTGTGGTTGTCTGTGCAAAACCACCTGCGGCGCTTGCCCAGTGGCATGGACGCCAGGCACTTTCGTTTTGGACGGTTGAAATATTCGTGTTCGGGAGAGGAGAGGATGAGGATCAAATTTTGAACGCCAAACTCTGCTCAGAATGAGAATACTTCGATCTAAATCTGCCGCAATTCATAGAACCGTGAAGCAAGCAAGGAGACCAATCCCAATTCTTCGCGTTTTATCCACGCCACGTTCCTGCCAGTCTATAACACACTCGAAGTTTTTAGGCACTGTCATCTGCACACGCATAAAGGACTTCCAAAATTACATTGTCCCGGAGGGTTCCTTCCAATTGAGTTTTTCCTTACTGTGGTAAGGGTCGAGGGTTAGTTTTCTCAACGGGAGCTCTGTACAAAAGAGATAAACCGCTTCGCCTTCATCGAACTAGGATAGTTCAGTGGACTACTCTGGCCGACAGCAGTGAGGACTAGAGACGTACGCTTGCTCGGCGAATTTGGTGATCAATGGGACGATGGCTGATACAGCTGATGGTAAGGGTCAATATTCAGCCAATAAGAAGTTTTCGAGTTTTGGTAACGATATCTGAGCATCTTAACGTTTCAACTATAGAAATTTCTCCTCTCCAAAAACATTCTCCAAGACATCTTTTCACACTTGAAAATGGCTGATAGCGAATCAACCAGGCAATACACTGTTGACAAATAAATCACAAGCTCATCCCTCTATTCGTTTGATAAAGGTCTACTACTAAAACAAAACCACTAAATACCATAATCGGCCTTCTAGGCAAGATTCTGACCGGGACAGTGAGCTGTCCCTGCTGGTTCTGTCCTAGTTACTTTGTCTCCTCTAATTAAATCCGGTCATATCGCGATAACGGTCGCGATGACCGCTCAATGGCGGCGGGAAATCCGCCACGAATGAAGAATGCAGGCAGAGTGAGAAAGAAATTCGGGTAGCACATTGTTTATGTATACAGAGTATCATTGTAGTTAGAGAGCTTGCAAGGCAAGAATATAATGACAAATACGTTATTATCTTTAATAATCTAGTCAGAAAGTGATTTGGTATGGCTATTGTGACTGATAAAGATTAGGTAAATGTAAACAAAACTGATAACAAAAAGCTGGAAGGCAGTCGGAGATGGAAGTATTGGTGAAGAGCGAAAAGGGTCACGGAGGTCGCGTAAGAGGCACAAGGCGTTCATTTTGGACTTGGCAGATATCAGCCTAACGTTGCTCGCCAACTTCACCAATGTCCACTTACAATTGGGACTTACAATTAAGGACCAGAAGGTCATCGAATCTCAGGGACGATGTAGTTGTTCAACGTAATTCGTTACCGATCCTCCAAAATCTATATTTGAGAACACAGCTCATTTATTCCACTTTTCAAATTCCTAGGAGTCAATTGTTCCTTTTCAGGAATGCTTTTTTTGTGAAAACATTTGGATTTTTCGGTGATAACCTAATACCAGGGGTATAGGCATACGGTCGGATGCGAATCGACGGTGTCAGAAGACTTCGCCATCTTTTTCCTGTTCGGCAGCGACCCTGTCAAATTTTTCCCCTGTAGTAACAACTTCCTCCCATAACTTGTTTGCCAC